TTACCAGTGTTTCACAAACGCTTCTTTCCTCCTTCCTCCAAACTTCCTCCTAGGCTAATTTAGGCTAGGTAAATGATTTCTGTAATCCTCTTCTTACAGGAACTATTTGAGCCCTTCAAATTAGTAGTAGTACAGTTGGTGAAAAACACACCATATAAAACTTTTCTTTTTTACTTATAATGGAACAGGCTGAAAGAAAAATCAGTTCCGTCCCAAAGTGTTTTTAAGAGGACTCTGTTTTAAAATATATTTCAAAACGAAAATTAGATTTATCATCTCTCTTCCCCTCAGCTCTAAGAAATAATAACAGCTATTTTGAAAGAAGAAACAGTTATATAATTTAAAACAACTGTAAAGGGTTTCCACCACACTAGAGAACTTACTGAGAACAAATCAGCTTTGACTAGCTCAGGTCCTGACAAGAGTACAGCTGTGCTACCACAGAGGTCTGATCACAAAAAGCCCACAAAATACAGTTAAAGCTTCCAGGAAAGACAGCCTGTGAAGTATCAAGTCAGTAAACATTTCTTTAAAAGATGAAAATATTCTTATTTTTCTTTTCTGCGTTAATACAGTGGTAATAATGGCTGCAATAAACTAATGCTTTTCTAACAAACACAAGTATTTATTAGTGTAGGAGCATCGAATGCTTTTTTTCAGCTACTCAGATTTATAGGTAGGACAGTGGGAACAGAGAAGAGGTGGATTAGATGATTCCCTGGAAATGTGCTGCTGCTGCTCTCACTTAACGTCACTTAAACAAAGGTAACTAATTCAGGTAACATCTGTGATATCCTGGCCCCAGAAAAGTCAGTGGTAAAAGCGCTATTGACTTCAGTAAGCCTTCTTCAGAACAGAACATAAACACCAGTGAAGCCTTATTGTTTTATTTCAGTAAAATTCTCTTAGAACGCATTAGGATAAAATATTAACACAGACAAGTGTCTAAACAGTACTTCTAAAACAGGGTAATATTTGGAAGTAGGAAATTTGGTAAAAAAGCACCCCTTTAAACGAGCGTAGTTTTCACAACATAATCTGCATAAACACCAGCAGAGACCACAGAACACAGAAATCACCCACAATATTAAATTAAAGTATATTCAACATAGTCTGCCTAGTTTTGACTTTATAGTAAATATAAAAACTTTTTATTGACAATAATATCTATATTCAGGTAAAATCTCTGAACTCGCAAAATGTTTCACAACAAAGTGATGCAGGTTTTGTAAGCCAAATCCTTTTCCTTGTATATGAGTAGCATTATACAACCTAAATGATTTTCTTTCTGCAAAGTTTTCTATAACAATCATCTGTTGCATATGCATAAACAGAGGTGAAATCACCTCATGGCTTGCTAGATGCATTAACTCTAACTTTTTCTGGACGGCTGGATTCTGTGTAAGACCTAACTTTATGAATACCATCACTGGATGTACTCTCTGGAAGCAAGGACTGGAGACAGCATCTCCAGATATTTTAACTACATTCATGAACATGATATCAAAAGATGCAAAATAAAATAAGTTTTTAAATGAATTCTCTACTTCTTATATCGTGCTACGATTAGAAAGAAACCACATGAAAACATTAATAAAAAAGTTCAAGAAACGTAAATACAACATGATATACCTGTCAAGATTAAAACATGCAATTAGTTACAGCAAATGGAATAAGTGCCATAAATTAGCATTCCTGTACATTAAATCCGATTCCTTTTGAACTTCATCTTATTTAGGATCATAGTGCATCACTTAAGTTGCATGATATGAGGTAATATATATCATTTTCATAGATATAAAGGCTATAAATACTACACTGTCAGTTAAACTAGCATAAACCCACACTGATTCCAACACACTTGCTCCAAATGCATGTTACTATAACCAAGGTCAGCAGGTGGGCCAACCTATGCTTTTAGGCTTTTTCTTTTTAATAGAGAGACGGAAAAAAGGCCTGAACAATCAGTCTTTTCTAGGCACTTGGTTAAGCTTGCTATATTTTGTAATTGATACTACATATTTCACAGGACTATTTAGAAGAAATTGGATCTTTTCATCATCTGAGTAACTCCTCACAGATGACATTAGCAAAACAGTATTAGATGCATTAACACTACCAGATTGGTGCCAAACACTGCATTTCTGCCACTGTGCATCTAAAATCTACCTTGCATTTAAGGGCAATTATGGGCACTCCCTTAGGATTCCTCAGAAAGGTTTACTACGCTGAAGAAGTCACACTCTGAAATCTCTTTTAGCTCTAATGTGTTCACTTGCACTTGCCTGATAGTTTCTGCAGCCTTTAATAACAGTGCCTTTAAATGTAAGAAGTAGCAACATGTGCAGGATACAGGATCTGAGCATCATAAAAAGTCAGTCTCTTTCCAGTTAAAGCAGTTCCATTGATTCTATAATCTCACTCAACTATAACACACCCATACAAATCGTGCTGTAAGATTTGCTACATGCTATCCTATATGTAGGCAGACGTTTATTTTATATCCAACATCTACGCTCTGCTAAAGGTATATCAGATTATGTCTAACGTCGGATTCTGATATCTGCTACTCAGGCTTAAATCCGGAATGACTCTTAAGCTGCCATTATACTGGCAGACATTGCGGGTGGCAGCCTTTAAAACAATCACATAGAGCAAAACAGCAAAGAAAAATAAGGGGTTATGTCTGTGAGAAACCAACTTTCTTAACTTCCTCTAAAACAAAACCACAAGCATATTATTTTAAGCCTTTTCTAATATTGTGCCCTGTTTAAAGTCTTACCTTAGAAACACCCTGGTCCGCTCTCTGAAGAGCTCCTCCTAAGTCTCATGCATTCTTGCAAAGAAAAAAGCTACCTGCTTCCATGAGGAAGAAGCCCTTTGACTCTCTCCCACAAAATCAGCTGTTTGTAGGGTGGAGACTGCTAGTGAAGATATAATGACCTGGAAACAACATAGGAGTGATGTGACCAGCTTGCCTTAACATCAGCTCCTGTGGCATTTTCTCTTTTTTCAGTCTCACTAGACTTTTAGGGTGAAGGAGCCATAAAAACTGCTCTGCTCCTAGGTGATGCAGCTCTACTGTATATAACAGATAAAAGTGCTCTCATTCCAGAAGTCTCCCTTTATCAGTACTAAATATCCTCTGTAATGATAACAGGATTTTGCAAATGTTGAACACTTTCAATATTAGCTTTAATCCACCCTTCCTTATGTCCTCGTCAAAATGAATGAGCCTGGCTACTCAAAGTCACTTAGAATCTATGTCACAGACTTCAGTGAAACCTGGATGTGATTTATTGTGGTTTGCACGGTTATGCTGGCTTCAGTACAATGCCTAAGTGAGGTATCTTGCAGTGGGCTGTTTAGATTTTGCAGCTGGAAGCAAAGGAAAATTAGTGTTCCCTGTTTGGAGCAGGAAAGCAATTTATCCTAAACCTGTGTACCTATAACTTGACTATAAACCTGAAGCAAAAAGGATAATGGAAGCGTAACTACAGGTGTCAAGGACAAGATTACAAAGTTGTAAGTAAAAAAAGAACCACCAGCTAGAAGACTTTGTATTTGGATTCATCCTTTTCCAGAAAATTATAGAAGGAAACTCTACCGCAAAAGCAGTGTGACAAACTCCAAAACAGGTAAAGAGCATAGGAAAGTGCACATATTTTACATATATGTACTCAGGCAGACACCTACATTACTGTTATATCCTGCATAGCATCCCTGCTTTCAGCAAGGTTGACGTTCCCCAGCCAGCGAGTGCATTATTAATGCCCCTTTTGCATTATCATGTATGTGACACACACAGCAGGATGGTGAGGGATGGCTGGAAAGAGTTGAGCTGCTTTTGCTACATGACAGAGTATTTACTCCTAACAAAAGAAATGAGAAAGAACAGTAAAATGGCATCCGCGTAGAAGAAAGCAGAAAATGAGAGAAGACGGTCCTCATAGATTAGAAAAAGAAAGAAAAGTGTGATGGAAGAACTGGAAGACAATAATCAGTGTCACTGAATACCTCCATTCCTTTTAGAATTAACTGAGTGATCTAACCAAAAAACTGCTCTAATTTAAGTAGCTATTCAGCAAAATAAATACTCTTGGGAATGGTGATCTGTTTTGGTCCGACATATTTTGTCAGTAAGAAATGGAAAAAAAATGTTTCATTTCAAAAAGTCCCATTTTCAAGATACTATTTTAAGTATTTGTTGCTTTTCCCCTATATAATCCCTTTTTTAATAGTCTTCCTTCTTTCTCATCATGCATTTAGGTTTTGTTGGCAAAAACTAAAAGGAAAAGTGGGAAGAAGTCTTCCCAGAAGACTTAAAACCAGATTATTTCTGAATGAAATTAGAAGGGTCAATAGTTTCAATGTCTTTGTTGAGAACAATTATTACATTTTGTAAAAACAATGGTCTGCTTTTGACCCAGGTCCATTTGTAGAATATTAAGCACGTGTCCTCCAACGTTACCATATACCTCCATACCACATACCATACCTCCAGCCTGAGGCATATTCTCTCCGCTTACGTAAAGCACAACATTTTACAAGATGTAGACAAATTAGCCTCAAAGTGCATCCAATCCTGGTATAACCTTCGACAGTGAAGAATCTGAAAGCAAGTTTCATATTGCCTGTGCCACTTCCAGTTTCAGCACTAAAAGGCATGTATTTACCCTCACCTTGGACTTTTTGTAGTCCAGAAATAACTGATTTTAGGAGACTGTGTTGTTAAAAGTATGAGAGTTCAAATCAAATTCAAGGTTCTCGTACTTGAAGATACTAACGGGAATAATATCTTGGAACACCAGAAGCTGTCTTTTCTTTAAATACTGCCCATTCAGTTAAGATTATAGTTAAATGTTCCTAAAATTGAGAGTATTTTAGAGGGACATTCTGTACATTTCCACACAGTGTAGGGTGTCAAACATCTATAGAAATAGAGTAGCATCCAAATCCCATTTAAAACCCAGTCCGGTGCTAACTTCATTGTACAGAAATTAAGATGAAATCCATAAAATAGATATAGTGGTTCCATGTTCATGAGTGATCTGGTTGATCCTTCCACGCACACAGTCAAGAGCAACCGATACCAGTGTTCCATTACGGACTTCAAAGGAGGCACGGAGGGACACACTGGTCCATATGCTTCCCTCTGGCATCTGACCACCAATCTGCTGAGCAATTGCTGTGGGCTGCATGTGATCCATGGTCACCTGATTGAGAGTCATTTTGAGTACATTGCATGAGTGAATCAGCTTTAAGTTAAAGGCAATGCTGGCAATTCCCTTTTCGGTAAAAATGAAATACTTCTGGGCAAGCTGTCCAGAAGAAACCAGCTGTATCTGTTTCTCATCGGATGAGACCTGGGTGAAATCCAGCAATTTGTTTCTCACAGCTCCAGTAGGCAGACTTGTAACAGAAACTGTGGCTGATATAGCAGTAGAAACTGCTGAAGGGATCCATATGAGGCTAAACATACTAATTCCAGAACTGTCTCCAAAATACCGAACATTACACTGTGCAGGAGAAAGTATCTCAAAGCTAACCAGATCTCCAGCACGAACTTTTGCGGCCCCAGAAGCAGATATTGATGTGTCTCTGTAATTTACCCCAGATTTAAATACATTCATTAACTCTCTGTTAGTACCATTCCTATTGATATAAGAAATTAAGGAGAAGCCCTCCCGGACACATGTATGACCCATGGAATATAGTGCCTGGTGGAACACAAATTTCACAACACCAGTTTCAGTGAACTTCATAGCTCTGCCATCATGAGATAAACTTATCATGTAAGGGTCAGAAACAGAGACTATTTTAAAGGTAGGTCGGTAGTTGGTTTGGTAATGCATTGCTGTTGACAACTGTGCACTGACTGCCACAGCACCCGTGTCATGGGACAACCAAAACAAACTGAGTGGGGTATTAAGATCATAAATATGTAAGTCTTTACTTTGATTGCAGAACTGATTTGGACTCCTCAAAAACACAGAAAGTGTTTGGCTGGGCTCCACTTCAGCAGCACTGCTTAGACTAGTGCTCTGGAAATATTTTCCCTCCGGTTGCTCAATGCGAACTCCACTCAGTTCATAACCTTCCTCACTGCCATTTAGCTTTAAGGAAAGTTGCAAAAAATTCCTGCAGTTGTGTTTTACTGCAAAATTTAGGTCAGTCCACAACAGACCATGCTGCCTGAACACCAAGCTGTTATCTTCAGCTGACAGGATTTCACAGTGAAGCTTTCCCTTTATCTTCAAGCTTAAGCCAGAGTAGACCTGAGAGATGCCAGACTTTGCAGAGGGTAAAAAGATGTTTGCAGCCCAAGACTCTGAAAGCTTGTTTTCAGTGCTTGCTGAACAAACCGTATCGCTGACGGTGGAACAAGGCACGGCCACCGTTCCTTCTTCACATTTTAAACACGCCTGACATTCCTGCATTTCCTTATTAAAGAAATACTCCTCTCCACACAGTCCCAAAGCTGCATCTTTCTCAGCAATTCCAAGGCATCGGAAACCACCTGTTCACAGGAAATGGGCAGTTTTAGTTGTTATACTTTTAAAACACCAAATGCTATAAGAACTTTACAGTTCTACATATCAAGTATAACACATCCAATCACAGGAGAGAAATCTGAAGTTAACATGTTAGATACTTTGCACTACTAGAGGATCCTTGATTTCAAACAGAGGAATGACTAAGGGTACCTCCCCTTGTCCAAGCTGAATCCAGTGGTTTAGAGAGGGAAAGGAGCAAGACAGGGCTGCACAGGGGCATATGGGGCAATTCTAACCAAAACCTGTAAAGGGTCAGATACAACAATACTGCTGCAAAGAGCCTCTCTCCCTTCCCTTAGGCAAAAGGCCTGGCAACTAACTGATGCACTGAGCAGCAAAGACATTTTCAGCTAATGGAGAGTTCACCTACACAGGGAAAAATGTCCACTGTCTGCCCAGTCACGATAAGGGGGTAGCACTGCTGTAGCTGTGATTGCTAAAGCAGTGCTTTGCCACAGACCCCAGGCAGTTGGTGCACTGGTTTTAAAGAACTGCAAGACATGAGTAGGAAAAGCAAAACTGGAATCAGCAGGCTTAAATTCATCATGCAGAAGTCCACACATTTAAAAGTCTGAAAACCATTACCCTAAGACACAGGACAGCAGTGGCTGCGATAGTCTAAACCCATAAGGCAAAAATCAGACACTGCAGCAAACATCATAGGACTGTTTAGAGGCTCTATGTCAAAATTACTTTGTTTGAAATAAGGCAATTGTGTACTGTTGAATGGCACTCCACGACCGCAGTGGATTAAAGAATGCACACCCAAAGAGCAGGTTTTAAAAGCAGCCTGCGATTTTCTGTGGCGATTTTCCACAAGCACCGCCAGCTTCCACTGACTCCCGCAGGAGTGCCTGTGCCCAGCACCTTGGCACGCTGGCCTTCACAGCTTAAATCAATACGCAAAACCTGGCGCACAAGGGAGGTCAGAGTATTGGCTAAAATTCATTTCTGATACTACATTATTCAACTGAGAACACCAGACACTGTGTTAATTTATATAGGCATCATACATTCACCCTCGTATCTCTTCATCTATTTATGCTTCATTCACTCAAGCAGTGATTCTTCACTTACAGTGATATGTAGGGCTATACAATTTATGACGTGAGAACATTCCTGATGTGACCAGGTATGTTTTTCTCACAAGAGCTCACTGCAGAAAAGTAAGATTTTTCCATTAAAAAGAATTAAGAGAAATTTAACACTTTGTTCCTCCCAAAAGTGCATCTGGTTTTTCTTATGAGAAACAAAAAAACAAAGAAAAAACATGTTTTCAAATAAAAACATCCTATGGGGAATATAGAAAAATGTCCATGACGAACTTTCCTTTTGAAAATAGATCATTTTTTGCCATGATAGAATTGCTAACATGAAATTTTTTAACCTGTTCTACTCGTCATACCAATGCCTCCTCCAACATTGAGAAATATAACATGAACTCCTATTGAACACACAAATACAGTCAGTTTATATAGCAGAGAAGATCTGCAGTAATGCCTAAGAAATGCTTCATGACATTTGCTTCTTTAAAAATATTATTAATGCATTCTTAAGCATTCTGATAAATACCAAATTTTACAAATACATTCGATGACTACTTTCAGCAATTCACTATGTAGTCTTTTTAAGTTAAAACTGCAGCAGGTGTTCCCTCAAATACTGCATGTATTTGCGATGGGTGACTTCAAAGCAGCACATGGGCTGCTTTATGCCATGGACACAGTGGCAAGAGCAGCATCCCACCCTTCGCCAGTCCAGAAGAGGTCAAGAAGCAAATGTTAGCCAAACAGCAAAAAGTCAGCACAGTAATATGCTATGACTGCTTCCTATTTCTCTCTACCACCTCTCAGACAATCTCTCCCACCTCTTCCTGGCCCCTGCTCTGGGCACTGCTGCAGCAGGTTTCCCAGAGACCAGCCCAGCTGTACTTGAACTGTTTTTGTGAAATCAAGTGTCTCTGCAGCATGCTCACCAGCCGTTGCAGTTCCTGGGGGCCAGGCAATTACCAAGGCAATTAGAGTAGCCATGCATATATTTTGCTGCTGCTGCTATTCATAGCTGCCCTGATGCAAAGATGATATTCAAGCATACCGAGCTTGGGAATCTGCCACCATCTTGAACCCCCTATGTCGCATTTGGAACATATCAGAAGCCTCATTAATTGCAAATCAGGTTCTCATTATTCACCACTTCTTGCCTTTGCAGTATCTCATCATTTCCTGGGATCTTTTCAAGGGTTGTCCTGCAGAAGACAAACCTGCAGTGCCTAAATGAGGGGGAGCCACCACAAAGCACAGCTGCCTAGCACAGACTTATTCGGAGAACAGGGCTGCTCACTCCGTAAAGCACACTTCTGGTAGAGGTCACTGAATATGGTTGCCTTCAAGAACCAGGGGAATTCCTCCTCTCTCAGCCCCATAGAAGTGAAGGTGCCCCAGGTCGGTGTCCCTTCGTGCAGCCAGTAATGAGGCTGAGCATGTACTCCTGACGGATGTGTACACACACACGCACACACACGCACACACAGAGTGCTAACACGGCCAGCCACACAGATGTACACAGACAGAAACCGCTGCGTTTACTGGCACCCACACAAACTCACACAGCACTCACACTAACATGTATAGCACAGACAGCTCAATCCTGTTCCTCCTCTCTGCCCGATCAGGATTGAAATCCACTGGTGGAATAGATGTGTGCGATGTGGGTCACTCCAGTAGCTGGTCCTCCTCTCTGCCTGATCAGCATTGAAATCCACTGGTGGAATACGTGTGTGCGACATGGGTCACTCCAAGAGCTGGTCCCAGACAGTCTTTCCAATAGCTGGCACACAGACTCCCTGGTCTCCTCAGGTTGCTGGCTCCTGGACCTACATGCCTCCAAGGTTTGCGGTCCCACTGCTCTTGCTGGTACTCAGACCTGTTATCCTACTTGCCAGCTGGTCCAGTTGTAGCATTCACTAGCTTTCACTAAACACCCCATAATAAGTTTTGTACACTCCCATAATCCTTTTAAAACATCTTGTAATAAGTTCTACACAAACCCATAATTCTTTTCCTCCTGCGTCCCACAGTAAGGCCTATAGTAAGTCCTCTTCAGTTTGCATGGCATTCTGCAGAGAGAGTGTCTAGGTCAACTCCACTTGGGGGGTTTCACACCAAGGACAATGCTCTGATCGTTCTCCTGTGATAGTCTAAGAAGGAGATGATTCAATGTCCTTCATTTTCAGTGATTAGGTACCTCCATCTGTCACTGCTTCTCTTTGATCAGCCTTTAATTACATACCCCAACAACTCTCATCCCAGATAAGAAGAGGAAAAAGGAGCAGGTGAAGAGAGTATACGATATAGAGGAAAGTGGAAGGGTAAAGAGAGGCTTCTAGTTACTTGTTTCTTTATCATTATTTGCTCTGTCCTCCTTCACACTGTGCAGTGGATAAGAGTTGCTATAGATGCAACACTCATTGCGTGAAGCTCAAGAAACCACATACAACATCTGGAACTCATATGTCAGAACACATCCCCATCTACCCTACATTACCCAAAGCAGACATCCAGTTTCAGCCTTCCTTTTGACAAGTCAATTGCACTTATGTATAAGATAATGAGCTATTATGAACGGGCAGGCTAAAAGTAGCAGTCTTCTCTAATAATAAAAAATAAGAAGAGCACTCTTTCTTCCATAGCAGAAGGGGACGTTGACAGGACATGGACTCCTGATCCAGATGACAGGAGATAGTTTGCTTTCACACCTTTATGGGCCACCATTAAAATCTGGAGAGGAGGAAAAATAAGGAGGAGTTCTTTCCTTTCAGATCCACTACTACTGACTTTCTGTGGTCTGACACACCACAACTATCTGCCTGGTTCATGGCAATATTTTCCCCTTGCTCACTTCCCTCCAGCAGTGGTATAGCTTCTCTCACTTCTTCTGGGTCCTCCCATCACACAGCCTCAGGATAAATTCCTTACAGCCTTCCTTCTTCTAAGCCACAAACTAGAGCAACACCAAATGACTAACATATTGCTGGTTCTCCTTCACTAGGGCTGGGGCCCCATGGACTTCCTTCCACAAAACCATCAACTCAGGCACACCAAGTCCAGCCTCTCACTAAAGAAGAGAGAAAGCCTTAGACCTTTGCAATGTACTGGCTCAAATCCTGTGCCTCCCCTAAGCTGTCTTGCCTCTAACAGCTCACTACCCACTGCTAAGGCTGTTTATAAGAATAGTCTTGCCTCTGTCTCTTCTTTTTTTTGACATTGACAGTACCTTCTCTACAGCATTTGCAATGTAATGCAACACTAGGTGCTCTCTTCTGGTCATTTCCAGCTTCCTGTGGTCTTTGTAGTAGCCAACCCTTTTAGTCCCTGCCCAGGCAAAGCATGGACAGCTTAAGTGAGCCCATGTTGTCTTCTAAAGCTTTCCTATGACCAATTCCCACCTACTTTTTTCTCCACCAGTGGTAGGGCAGGAATAGTATAAAATCAATCATAAGGAGCTGAAAACAGTCTTTCCGCCTCAGAGAGGCCATCCTCTTTTTACAAGTAAGAACTTGTGAGGAGGAATAACATATAACCTGACAAAGCCTTCCCTCGATTATTTTACTGGGAGACCTCAGGCAGACATCACAAGCAGTGAAACGCTAGATTCACAGATCACAGAGTGCCCTTCAAGTCTTTCTCAGCTGACCAAATATTAGACAAGTAAAAAGAAACCTAGCACCTGGATAGAATTAGTCCAGCACATTTATTAATTTTACTCTTCTGTGTCTGACTGTCATGAGGACTAATGAAGGAGAAGCCGGCAGTGCACAGCTCCAGCCAAACCTGCTCCTGAATGTCTGAAAAGCCACCACCCCACCCTGCAAATGACAAAAACTGTTAATTCTTCCTCATTATTTGACAATATTATTGCTAAGGAAGAATGAGATTGATAGAGAAGGGCCTTATAAGAACCTTCATCAGATCAAATCAAATAGCTAGCCCTGTGCAGCAGAAGGAAAATGACAACTGTTCTTCTCCATTAGGAATAATACTTTTGATTTTGATGCCACTTTCACCCGCATAAACAAGAAGAAAGGTCAAAAGTGGATATTAAAACCAAAGCATATAAAAACCCATGAAAATAAGGTAAAAGAGAACACCCAAATTCCTATGGGTATTATGTCCTAAATAGCGCATTATCCACAAGAACTGTTATCAGCTTACAGTTGAGTGGTCTTCATACCCTTTATTCCAGCAAGCTGAGCACGTCATTACTCACAAACGGGTCTGAGTCCTTATCTGTGTCTCTGGCCTGTTCCTGAAGATCTAATCATCTTTACTCTTTAGCTATAACAGAACATAACTTACCTGGCGTATTCAGGCATTTTATCCTCTCACCACAAATGCTTGGAGATTCAGTGCATTCATCTCTGTCCTGTAAATCACAAGAATCATATTGAAACACTTTACGCCCATAACTTAAGCTTGAAACAGGCACTTGCTCCCTCAGGCTCTGTGACACTCGTCTCCCTGCAAAAGACATATGTAGGGAGGGAGAGCGGTTTGGTCTCATAGGCATGTTGGAGCAAGGTAACTTGTTTTGGATTTGTCACCTGTGGTACCAAGGTATCCAAATAGGTTGGATGGTCTATACAGAAAGCTAGCAGTGCACAGATCACGAGCTAAATAGATTGGTTGTACAACTAATATTCATTATGATGTAAGGTCTGTAAGACAATACTACATCCCTGACACCGCTACATCACTCGATTGGTCTTGAAGACGTTGTAACATCCAAGAATGTGTTATGAAAAGCTCTTAAAGACACTTAGGCTGGGTGTAAGGTGCTAACTGGAAAACACCAGAGAAAGGTAAATGTTAAAATAAAAGTAATTCTTCCTGTCACTAAGCTCTCCTCTCACTCTACAGCAGGTGAAGGGGAAAAAATGACAGGCCACATTTACATTTAAATGCCAGCATTAAAGAAAACTGAGACTAGCAGAGACATAGAGAGGGGACAGAGAATCTTTTAGGTTCTCTCCTCAGTAACATGGGCTTAGGTCACCAGGTGTTCAGGCTCACATTAAGCTAAGAATTGAGGGCAACACTTGGCAAAGAAGACATTGCTCTAAACATCAAGATCCCCATAAATCTCAGGACTTCTAAATGAAAGAAATGACTAAAGAAGCACCTTATTGTGTTTACGTCTTATTTTTACATTTTATAATAAAATATATTTTATAATAAAAATAGCAGTGGTATACATTTTATATGTTTATATGTTATGTTTAAGCTGGAACTATATTTTACATTTATTTTAACCGACAACTTGTATTTCCGATCTTACAAATAAATGCTTTGTCTTAAGTTTTACTTAGTAAAGATTTCCTCTATTTTTCATGCATGTCTAGTAGTGAGTGTAGAGTGAACTGAGATTAAATAAACAAACATAGCACGCATAAGTGAATGTGTTTTGGGATGTCTTTTCCTACCACGGTGAACAGAATCTATGTGCTGCCAGTCATCAGATTTGTGAAAGCTTTACATCCAGCAGATTTATGAAAGCTTTACCTCCTCCTCCCCTCTTAGAGGAACAAACGGTAAAGAGAAAACTCATGGAAAACTCCAGGCAAACTACGCAGCATCATAGACCCAATCCCACAGACCCAGTAAAACACATGCTTAAATTGGGATCTCCCCACTCTCTCTGAGCAGGTATTTCCATAACACATCCCTGCATGTCTGGCACTGTACTTCATAAACAGTAACTGAGAGATACAGAATTATATTTCACCTGACAAATCCGATCAGAGTTTGCAGAACACTCAGCCATTTGGAAAAAGCCAGCAGGACACAATGTGCATTTTTCACACTGTGAAGGTGTCTTTTGGAAATTGCAGAATTCATCACTTTCACAAAGACCACAGTCCAGCAAAGACTCCCCAACATTAATCACTTTTGCATCCACTTCTACTTTACGGACAGAGTATGACTTCTGGAGATGATTTCTGACCTGCTTCTGAAGTCCTTGAAGATGACTTTCAAAATAATTTTGAATATCTTCTTGCAAACTCTGAAATGACATTTGTTTCACTGTGTCAAAAAGCATGCCATACTGAACTTTGATCAGATCCATTTGCTCATACATTTTTCTTTGCTGTTCAAGAATTTCCCGTTGCTGGCTAACCAATACTTGCTGTTGTTCAGCAAGTTTTTGCTGCAAATCCACAATTATCTGCTGCTGACTTTTTAGCATTTCAATAAATTTCTCGTGCCCTTTTGCAAGCTGCAGCTGCAGTACTAGCGCATCTTCAGACGGAACTTCATTTTCTCCTGAAATACAAATGATAGATTATTGTCCAGGGAAAACAATTTTCCAGCTTGCTTACCTCTCCAAATGCATTCAAATTTTAATGCATTAATGAGAAGTCTCATTATATTCAAGCCATAATAACAAGACCAGCTCCTTTATTGTTCTTTGCAGCCCTTTCATGGGACTGCCAGCTGTTCCATTTCATGAGCAACATCTATAGTGGTGGACACTAAAAAAGTCATAATCGAGATCTATGCTTCAGGGTATAAATTAATCATCACTGGGGGTCATTCATAGACTAGTCATCATGATGTACATGTTCAGATACAATAGAGAGTAAATGGTCAATTTTCACTGTAGAGGTGATAAAGTGAGGTGATAAAACTTGCTGAGAATACTAAGTTACTCAGGATAGTAAAAATAAGGGTCAGCTGCAAAAAAGGTCTATGATATGGGAGAGCAATAAAATGGCAAAAAGAAACTCAATACTGAGATAAATGTGAAATGATGCACTGACTGAAAAAAACAGTTCTAAGTTTTTATATAAAATGTTGTGTTTGGAGCTGATTATTACCACTCAGAAACAAGATCTAGAGGCAGATCTTGGGCTACAGAGGTATATAATCATCAGCTCAACAGAGTCCAAAAAGGCAAATAAAATCCTAGGAGTAATTACAAAAGGAATATATAACAGAAGAGGAAGTATCATTATGCCACTAAAATAATAAACAAAACATCTTTAATATATCTTCAGTACAGTATACAGTACTGGTCCCCCACCTCAACAAAGGTCATAGAAGAACCTGAAAAGGTTTAGAGAAGGACAACAAGGATAGTCCAACGTATGGAACTGCTTCAGTATGAGAAAGTAGATAGGACTTTTCAGGCAGGAGAAAAGACAACTGTGCAGAGTTATGCTTCAGTGCCATATGGTGTCCTAAAGCAAGAGGATAAGGAAAGACTCTTCACTATCTGCTCCTGTTCAAGAATCGGGGGACATTAAATGAAGGCAGCAGTTTCAATACATGTTAAAAATAGATCCAAAAAGTGGCTGCTCCAATATATAAAATAAAAATCTAATTCGGGCTAAAAAATACACAGACATCTATTCAGGCTAAGGAAGTCTTTGAACTACAAACTTCTCAAGGTGGGAAAATGACCAAGGGAAATATCATCCCATGCTTTCTGCAGCATGCACTGCTGGACACTGCCTGCAAGAGAATCCGGAGCCCAAGATGTTACCTCTTCTGCCCTTATGCAGTGCTGAGTTTTCTTGATGTAACTGCAGGACATCACAAATAAGACAGTTAAAAGGACCAAAACTAGGTTCTGTTTATGGTTCCTAAAATGTTTTAACCTTCAGTTACCTTTATTAATGGCATAAGGCAGACATTAATCATCTGAATTTTTCAGTATTTATTTACACATTGAGGTAGTTTGCAGGGCATTATATTTGAAAAAATAAAGACCAAGATTCGGGAAAGGCCATACTCACCATCTATGCTGGAAATTCAGAATTTTGAAATATCTGGTAAATCGTACACCAGGATCTACTTCTAGTCTAACACAAACAAGTAGTTCTATGAAGACTACCAGTGTCCTCCGATTCTCTGTGGCTTTATGTCTTTCAGCTCACTGACTACGTAACTAGTACTACCTTCACCACCTTTCTCCTTAAGAGCAAAGAGCAACAAGCAAGCTACTTCTTGATAAATCAGCTGAAAATTAGCTACAGGCAAACTTGTAAATGCTCGTATACCACTCTCTCCTCTTTAGCCAGCTCTTCTAAAGTTTATACAACCTTACATACTTTTAATACCTCTCCCTTGTCAAATTTGCCTGCAGTCAGTCCAGAGGTTCAAGAGATACCTGCCAAGAATTACATTCATACTGTGATCGCTTATCAAGTGTTTTGCATGAACTTATATGGGTCCACTTGTGCTTGAGGCTGGAAAGACATTAGCAAATACCTTGTCACAAAACTTGTGTTCTCAAAAGTCCAGCTTACGACTGAGAGTTCAGGCAGAAAAGCACGGGTCTGTGCCAACCATTTTGACTGCATTTTCACATGTACAAGTGACAACACACTGTAAATGGACCGTGCCATGCATCAGTAAGAGTTATGTCTTCAAAGCAGAAAGAAAATCTGCGAGGAAAAGGGCAGCCCTTAGCTGCCTAAATACAGCATATACACCTAGAAAAACAGTTGTGATAACTGGCATATTGAGGCTTTGGCTATCATGTTGACTAGCGTTATTTAACTGTTTCTTGCTAGATCTTCCACACCTGGACTGTAAGCTTTCTGAAGTGGGCTTCATCCTCTTGTTCTGCATTAACACGATTTCCAGCATACTGGGACAGCGTGACTGAACAGGGTCTATGCTATCGCTGTAATATAGATATCCAATCATAATAACATAAATGTAGCAAATAATGAGTATAATATTCTTATAATACCATAAAAGCTGAAACCTAAATGCATTCCCCTAGTAAACTGCTACATAGTACTGACAGCCATCACAGTTCCTGTCAAATGAACTGCTTACCCGTCTGCCTTTCTCAGTGAAGATTTTGACTTTATGCTCAACACATTAACAAATTCAGGTTTGTAAGGAACAAAAAGTAATGAAAGCAACAGTATCCAACTGCCCCTTTCTAGCCCTTCTGAGCCTCTTTCCCAATGAAAAGGAAAAAAGAAATAACTTTCATAGAAAGGAGGAAAAGTTCAGATGCATCACTTAAAAGTCAATCTAAAGAACGGCTTCTGGAGAACTGCCAGGGGGAGTGAATTCTATAATTAAGGATATATCACCAAAACCATTTTCCTTCAGTTCTCAATAGCTCAAATCTGGACCAATAGCAATAGCATTTTGAATGATTCCAGCCGCCACAAGGTTATGGTTAGGGAGAACACAGTCTCTTCTAAGACGGGGTTATTGTGTTGTACCCGTCCCCTCTTCGACATCTGGACTTTTACCACACACCTGAGGCAAAGCTATTAGGGCAAAGAAAGGTTAAAAAGAAAAGGAAGACTAAAGCCCTGATTCAGTTAAACATATAATGTAGACCTTAATTTTAAGCATGTAATGAAGAGCACTGTCTTCAGTCAGTAACTGTCTGACTCGCTGGCAGTAACAGCCACTAATTTTAAATACTGACTGCAGTGAAACTGCTCACATGATATCTATATCTCTTCCCTAAACATCACAAAACTTTGTAGCAACGGCTATATTCCATCCAGTCAGCTCAGCTTTGCTCCTTTTTGCTGTGTAAAGCTCTGCTGGTGAGAATATGTGACCTAAGAAACCCTTTGGTCTGTTTTTTCTCTCATTTTTACCAATTTTGCAGTACTATGACTAAACTTAGCTGCACTAATTTATACAAGAGGCCCGGCACTGCACATTACAGTTGGTGCTACTGGCAGTTAGCATGCCAGACCAACAGAGAGTACAATAAGGCTCTTGCACAAATGAGAAGAATCTATTTAAAATAAAATACATTCAGTTAAGCAGAAGTGCTCACGCTGGCCACAAGTAGAAGCTTAAAATAGCACAGATATACTGTGCCCTAAAAGTGGCCCTATTTCTCTCCATTAACTACATAAAAGAAATCCAGGGTGAACAAGTCAGATGACGGTGTCTCTATTGAAGTTGTCTAAAATTATGTGATAATAATTCCACTGCCAGTGATGTTTTAGCCATTAGTATTGGCCAGCAGTCTCACTTAGCTACCCTTTCATATACTCCAGACAAGCATAAAACAGCTACACCCACTAGCAACACTGAGATGTTCCTACATCCAAAGATGCAATATTAGCTTCCTGGCACATGCATGCCATACACAGCCATGGCGAGTTCTGTTTTGCAGACATCTGCTCTCTGCTTGCAGGATCTATCCATGGTGCAAACATAATCCCTGCACATGAAGCTCTTCCACATTTCTCCAGTATGCCTTGGAAAGAATATATGCCACCTTGAAGGCACGCTGCCTGTGCAATGTGGCCCTTAGGCATAATTTGCTACTGCATTAGTGTCAGAGCCTAAAAGCATCAGTCATCCTACCATGAGGAAGGAGGAAGACTAGCCCCTGTGAGATCTTGAGTGGGTCCCTAGAGCACAGGGCTACTGGATGGTGCCAGTCACTCCTGGTAACTGTAGGAGAGAAGAGCACTGGGTTGTAGGCTCTGTGCACGGTTCAACACACAGTTAATGACAGCATGAGAATCATCAACCTTGTTCATTAGGCTTGTCAGGTATGAGATTCAGCAGCTGCACATTACTTTGACCAAGTGGGGGTATTTGCAGCTGCAGAGAAGTCTGTCCAAAAGAAAACAACAGAAAGACAGGTCTGATGGGGAAAAAATGAAGGATTTAATTGCAATTAAGAAAGGGAGGGCAGAAACACAGAGGAATACAAAAAAAAATAGGACAACAAGAACAAGTCCTGTGCATTCCTTCTTCTGGGATGCCAATCATTCATCTGAAGTAAGATGTACTCACTGGGCTGCTGAGAATTAGCTCTGACAGCCTTGCGGGGGAATGGCCTCATCTAGTTTGAAAAGGGAGTACAAGTCTGCACTCCAGCATCCTCCTCTGGCCACAGAAGCTTGGCCGACAGAGGTAGTGATTCAGCTGTAGTTGGCAGTAGCTTTCCAGATCGTAGCAGCGGTGCCAGTGATGCTGGCTGAAGAGATGAAGACGTTCGTGTGATCCTCCCAGCAGGGCTGTGCTAGTTCTGGCAGGCAGCTGGTGGAGGGTAACAGGGCCACCTGCACCATGCAGATGAGCCAGCAAACACACACGCATCTGGAGTCCCTGGTGTTGGCCTGTATCCTGGAAGGCTGATGTCAGGCATGGTCTTCAGCAAGTGTTTGAGTAAAGTGCACCCCACATGAATGTCTTTTCTGGGGTTACACAACAGGTAGAGGATCCTCTTATTCTGCTCATCAAAAAACAGCCTTCTCCACCAGGTAAATTTGAAGGGAGGCCTCTCTCAATGACTGAAGAGTTGCTGAGACTCATGCATTGTTGCAAAGCTGGTAGTCAGAGGCTGGGGTGGGCCACCACGTCTCCACCTGCAGATGGTGACTTAGTACAGGCAGAAAAGTGGCCTTAGGGTCACCTGGCCAGCACAATTCAACTCCCCTGCAGTCTGCAGTGGCAAAGGACTGCCTCATGCAGCTGGCCTCAGTGTAACGTGCTGAAATGGTAATTGGGTAGGAAAGTTCCCCTAAAAACAACAGAAAGACAGAAACAGTCACTGACCTGTTTCTTCTTGAAGAGAAGGTTGAGCTGTTTTGAGCTACAGCCTTTCAGATGTGAAACTGAAGAGCCAGACTGCCTTCTGTTTCTTTTTTCAACCAGGAACTAACCACACCTTCACCCTTGACCTAAACACAATGGAAATCCCCTAGAAAAACTGCCTATGGCTGCCAGAGAAACCTCCTCTTCTGGGGTGACTGATTTAGGGAGATTTATGAAGATGGATGAGGCTGTAGAGGTCAGATAATCTGTCTTAAGCCTGTGCTCTTCCCTACTGTGTGACAAGTTCCTAGAGCCTAACTAAATGTATGACTGCTGGGCTGGAGGCATATACCTGCACCGTCCATAAAATGTACAGACATCACCCTGCAGGCATGCAAAGTACTGTGCACATGAAAGAAAATACTGTGGGTTTTCTCTCCTACTTAAGTCATGTGCTGAGCACATGGAGAGGCCTGATCTCACAAGGCACGGCAAAGAGGCCTGGGAACACAGCAGCCACTCCGAGTCCTGGAGGCAACTCTTTGTGTACTCTAGCTTCCCCCAGAGACTCCAGCCAATGCTATCTGCCGCATATTGACTGCTGCACTGAAGAGGTCCCTAGATTTCTTTCTGCGGGACTCTTATTGCCCCTCAAAACTCTTACTGAGTTACATCAGCACTGCATATGTGTACGCATGACTGTAAGACAAAGTCCTGCCACTCCCGCATAATGAGATTTATCCAAACTATTTCATGGTAGGAAAGCTGCCACCCCCACCATATGGGCTGGGAAGAGTACATCTGAGGACTCTCAGCCTCCCCTAGCAGGGTCTTTGGAGAACTAGAACCTTCATGCTCCTTACCTGGATTTGCCCTGTCGTGCTCACTGGATGATGTTTGAGCAGCAGCTCTCCTCAAACCGTGGTGAATGCATTGCCCCGGTTTAGCTGTTTGACTATCACACTGTTGCTCAATTTCTTCTAGCAGACAGACCATCTGGAATTGCCATGCAGAACCATGTCCATTTCTAAGACGAGGGCTCCAGCTGTGAATGGAGGTTGAAGAACGCAGAGTGTTCTCTGTACTTTGGCAGGTGATCTGTGTTTGAGGGGTGGGGCTAGATCTCTAGTGAACACAGCAAGTGTTAGAGGTTGCGAGGCAGAGCAGGATACTGGATGCTTGCCTGTACTCTGACTTGGAGAACACCAAAGATATCAACATGACTTATTTTTTGTTCCTGATGCCAAGAGCATGGGGTTTTCTGTTAGATATTGAGGAATCCAGTATACTACTCTTCCACTCCTAGGAAAGAAAGTTTCCTTGTGAACGCTGGGTTCAGTGTAGGAATGGGCAAAACATGTATATGTTGTCTTTTGTTCAGTTTGAACAGAAGGATGTCTACAGCAGGTCTCATCCACATCAACTGCCATGATTGCTGCAGTGGTCCTGGGTGTGGGCTGGTCCAGTCTGTGTCACTCACTGACCCTAATGCACCAGCAGTGGGGAGAGAGCATCTATGCGGGTGCAGTTGCCCTCACTGAAAATTCTTTTACCCATGGAAGCTCATGTGTTAACACAGGTTTCCTGACTATGTTCCTCCATGCTGACAGTGCCTCCCAGTGTCTTACACAGTCTAGCGGGCACCACCGTCCATTGCTTTCCCTCCGACATAAGATGCTTCTCTCTGCCGCAGGCATGTGTGGTTGGGATCAGTGAAGTATTTGAAGGAGGTAAACACAAAAATCCATAACTGCCGCTGGCCATAAGGTGTAATCCATTCCTGGTGTGTTCAAGGATTTTGTTGCAGGAAACTTCTAATGACACTTTGGCTCCTCCAAAACCTCATCTGGGACCATGCCTGTAAAGAGCATAAAGTCAAAAGAGTACAGTGAACTCTATGTTGAGTCTCCAAAATCCCCAGTAACTTCACTCTCCAACCCCTTTGCTTTACCTTCCCTTACTCCTTTTTCTTCTGACCCATGTGAAAGGAACTCCCAGCCTTGTGGCATAGGCGATCATGGGTGCATGTAACTCACCATGTTAGCTGTGAGGGCTGACGGTACTGGAGACTGCACAGCACAGGCTGATCTGAATCCTCTAATGACAGACATGGGATAAGGGGATATTTGGAGAAAGAGGTCACGCTGGGCTTGAAGTTCTTTGAAGGACTTTCATGGAGATACTGCTCCTCTGCTTGCAGCACCGTCCAAGAGGTGTTAAGTCTTTTCTGTCCATGCAGAATGCCCCTATCGTATGTCAGGGCTTGTGTTCCAGGGAGGTGGATCTTGGCTGGCATAAAGAAAATGCAAATATCCCAGGTCCTTTTGCAAAAGGGAGTTGAGGCAATTATGATGGAGATGCAAAGAGTGTGCACATAAGTAGAAAAAATAGAGCTTGAATGTACTGACTTCTCTCTGTTTTCTGTGCATCTTTGTTTTTGGGGCGTACAGACACTCTATAAAGCATCTGGGAGTAATATCAGGCAAGATGAAGGCACATGGAGTGCCACTGCGCTATGCGCAGGAAAGGGGGCATTAGACGTCAGCCCTGGGACTGGAATCACCACAAAGTGCTGGAGTCTGTTTTGAAAAAGGTGTCACTTGACTAAGCAGATGTTCAAAATGAGGCAAGACGTGCTCTTGCTGTCTGAAACAGCTTCAGCTCTTGGAATAGCCACAAGGATGTGACAAAGTTCAAAGGATCTTCTTCATGCTTTCCATTAGCTTTGACCATCAACAGGTGATAAAACAAATTACTCTTTCTCATTTGTTATGTCTTTCAGATAAGGCATTAAACCAGAATCCTAACTGTTTTGTGGTCACTAAAGACCTGCTGATACTTTTCGTGTGGGTAAAGCCACATATGCCAGGCAGTTACACAATATCTTCTGCTGACCTGTGATTATAACCATGGATGTATCATACTTTCCATGGTGCTACTGATTTGACAAGAGCAGTAAAGTACTCTAAATTATGTACAATGAGAGAGGCTCTGCAGTTTCCTTTTTTTCTGGCTATTATAGAAAGACAATTTGTCAGCAGCGGCAAGTTTCTTACTGATAACACTATCCATTCATTCTCAGGGCATACGGTATGTCCCTCCAACTGAGGCCTTGCATGATGCTGCTATAAATTAGATACCCCAGAAATACCAGGCTGTGAAGAGAGAGAAAAGTAGAAGCCTTACACTTGTTTAAAAATGACAATAAAAATACCTCTGTTTTGCCACGCCTCCTCTGCTGTAGGCCTCATAGGAGAAGGCGTGCACATGTGTGTGGAGCAGAAATGAAGGGGAGAGCAGAGGGGAGGAGGAGCAGCGATTCCTCCAAGCATCACGAGGACCAGTGCCACAGGGTTGCGTCCAAATTTTCCGACGTGGCCCGTGACTGCCATACCCAGCTCGACACACTTCCCGGAGGTGCCAAAGCCCCTCACTCCACAGAGCGGCACCCGCACGCCTGCGGACCTGGCTCTCCAGGCCTCCCGC